CGCGACGAAACTCTGCTGGGAGTCCTAAATTCAGCATCGCGGGTCGGGGACCCCAGCCTCTACCCAACATTCAGCATACGGCCCCAGAAAGCAGATTTGTGTTTCACGTGAGTAACCCTATCGTATTAGTGGAAGCAAAAGGTTCCCGTCGTACCTACATATTTTCTACTGCAACCACTATCACCTCGAACTTTAATTTCTGGCGTGATTACGGTGTGCGTTCACAAATGGTGCATTTGCACTTCACCGAAAGTGGGTGCGGCTTGTTCGTTCGTCCGTGACTCATGACGATTGTAAAGTATACTGCTTGTTAACGAATGCATCAACGTTTTCTACTTTTCTTGATGACCGGCCGTTCCTAATCTTATGATACACTGTTGTTATTGAGTAATAAGGTTTGTTTGCTGCGTGTTTCGTAGCGATTTTGTCTTCACTTCACGAAAATGTCCGGCCATAGTGTTTCTGAAGGATCGGGAATACAACCGATTAGATCACCGAGGAGCGCTCAGATGTTGCTTCAGGAAGTTATGAACACAATTGCAAGTAGCTTGCTCTTATAATAATTTCGGGAAAACAGTAGAAATGTTGGTTTGTCTCATAATTCTTGTCTCATTTCTATTCAAATTCAAATTTCTTCCGTCTAAGACCGTTTCATTGCGAAATACGTTAGTATGTTGAAGTATGCTTCAAGAGCCTTAACAGCATGGTTTCGGAAGCGCAAGCCCATGGGTTAATCAACTAGGAATAAAAATAGGTCAGTGACTATAATGAATGATTATGCTTTACGATCCTCAAATGAACTCTGTAGCAAGGAGGACAACAGAGAAGATCAGCGCTGTGTTTGACTCAGTCTCTGCTACTGATAGGGTACTGAGCTAGTGGTCCAATCGCAACGGCAAAGACGAAACGAGCTATGAACTTCAACCTCATACTGGGCCTGCGGTCATTTTTGATGAGCGCCCCTTGCACCCTAAATTGGGAGTGCCTCCGGACGTTGCTACCAGGGTATTGTAGCAGATACCTGAGCGCAGCCGATGCACCAGCACACGCCATCAGTATGGCAAGGACTGCTGCAGAATGAAGTTTGATGGAAACCTTATGGTCCGGCCGACCATGAGCGGGAAGCACGCCTGACCATCTGGGGAAAATTCCATTCTGGGACGGCAAAAGCAGAGCCTTCCCTAATCGGTCACCAGTGGAAATGAGTCATGAGTCCACTGCGACAACAACATGCGGCACGTCTGATGGCTACCTCGCAGCCAGGAAGCACCAGCTCAACCTTTCTGAGAATATCGCTCTCGTTTGTTGGATTCGCTAGGTGGCCTGGTTTGGGAACCACTTCAATGTATGAAGACAAGCATTGCTAAAGTAGCCCTCTAGGCTGGCTTCGGGGTTGCGAGGGAATCGTCAGAAACGTCTCAGATTCTCCTTTCTCCGAATGTACGCCAGACCTCACATTGCAATGCCAACTCACCACGTTCTGAGGGAGATAGCCAGGGCCACGATACCT